AATCATTTTTTTAAAAAAGACACAAAAGAATATATATTCTACGCTTCATTATATAAAGTTTTAGAAAAATTAAGTAAAACCAAACAATGGTGTTTAATGATTCACATTTATAAAGACAAAGAAGTACAGACCATAAAATCAGATTACTGATTACCATTGGTGATGGGGAATAAAGGGTAGCAATCACAAGGGAGCATAAAGACGACTAATGAAAACTGCTAAGATTCTGTTGCTTGACCTGCTAGTTATTTGGTTGTTTGTGTCATGAAAATTCACTGAGCTGTACATTTTTGGTTTTTATACTCCTTATGTGCTAATTTTAATAATTAAAAGTTTTTAAAGCATATTTAAATGAAATTTTTCAAAACATGTTTTTGTCATTTTTAACAATAGAGTTTAATATTATAAATCAATTGTACATGTGTTATCTCAAATAGTATCAAGAAATAAGTAACCATTACACCAGAGGAAGGTGTAACATCTTAAAGATGTTATTATCATTCTAGATTATATGTTGAGTGTTTCTTCAGAATAATTGGTATATCAAGAAAAAAATGTCAACCAGAAATAGTTCATTCATTTTAACAGTTGTGATACTATTGTAATAACTTGAAACAATTATATTTCAAGTGAACAGGTAGATCTGGTCCTCTGTTGGTTTATAGTCCATTCAAAAACTCAATATACTTTCCATCCCCCTTATTTTAACCTCCTGTCTCTCCCTTATTAAGACCCACCTGGAAAATAAAATCTCCTCATCTCAATATCTTTAATTACATCTGCAAAGTTTCTATTTTCCCCAACATTTTTTTTTTTTTTACTGATGGATAGTTAACATATAATTATATTAGTTACAGGGGTACGATATGATTCCACAATTCTATACATTACTCAGTGTTCATCATGATAAGTGCACTCTTAACCCCCTTTACCTATTGAACCCAATCTCCCCACCCACCTTCTGTCTGGGAACCATCAGTTTGTTCTCTGTATTTAAGAGTCTGTTGTCTCCTTTTTTTGTACATTTTGTTTCTTAAATTCAATATACGAGTGAAATCATATAGTATTTGTCTTGCTCTGACTTATTTCACTTAGCATTATACCTTCTAGGTTCATCAGTGTTGTTGCAAATGGCAAAATCTCATTCTTTTTCATGGTTGAATAAGATTCCACTATATATATATACCATTTTTTCTTTAACCATTCACCCCTCGATGGACACTTGGGTTGTTTCCACATCTCGGCTATTGTAAATAGTAGTACAATAAACATAGGGGTGCATATAGCTTTTCGAATTAGTGTTTTTATTTTTCTTTAGGTAAATATCATAATGGAATTACTGGATCTTACAGTATTTCTATTTTTTAATTTTTCAAGGACTCACCATTACTGTTTTCCAAAATGGCTGCACCAATTTGCATTTCCACCGGTACGGCACGAGAGTTCCTTTTAACCCACATCCTTACCAGTACTTGTTATTTCTTGTGTATTTGATTCTAGTCATTATGCCAGGTCTAAGGTGATATCTCACTGTGGTTTTGATTTGCATTTCCTTGGTGATTACTGATGTTGAACATGTTTTCATGTGTCTGTTGGCCATCTGTATGTCTTCTTCAGAAAAATATTCAGGTCCAGTGCCCATTTTTTTTTTTTTAAGATTTTATTTATTTGACAGAAAGAGAGAGATCACAAGTAGACAGAGAGGCAGGCAGAGAGAGAGAGGGAGAAGCAGGCTTCCACTGAGCAGAGAGCCCGATGCAGGGCTCGATCCCAGGACCCTGAGATCATGACCTGAGCCGAAGGCAGAGGCTTAACCCACTGAGCCACCCAGGCACCCCTCCAGTGCCCATTTTTAATTTAATTTAATGCTTTTGGTGTTGAGTTGTGTTCTTCATATAGTTTGGATATTAACCTCATACTGGACATCATTTGCAAATATCTTCTCCCATTCAGTTGCCTTTTTGTTTTGTTGATGGTTTCCTTCACTGTGCAAAAGCTCTTTATTTGGTGTAGGCCCAATAGTTTAATTTTGCTTTTGTTTCCCTTGTCTGAGGAGACACATCTAGAAAAATGATTCTCTGGCCAATGTCAGATAAATTACTGCTTGTGCTCTCTTCTAGGAGTTTTATGATTTCAGGTCTCACCTTTAGGTTTTTTTTTTTTTTTTTAAAGATTTTATTTATTTATTTGACAGAGAGAGAGATCACAAGTAGACAGAGAGGCAGGCAGAGAGAGAGAGAGAGAGAGAGAGAGAAGCAGGCTCCCTGCTGAGCAGAGAGCCCGATGCGGGACTCCATCCCAGGACCCTGAGATCATGACCTGAGCCGAAGACAGCGGCTTAACCCACTGAGCCACCCAGGCGCCCTCACCTTTAGGTTTTTAATCCATTTTGAGTTTATTTTTCGGTACGGTGTGAGAAAGTGGCCCAGTTTCACTCTTCTGCATGTAGCTGTCCAGTTTTCATACCACCTTTCACTGAAGAGACCATCTTTTCTCCACTGTATATTCTTCCCTCCTTTGTCACAGGTTAATTGACCGTGTAAGCATGGGTTTGTTTCTGGGCTCTCTATTCTGTTCCATTGATCTGTATGTCTATTTTTATGCCAGTACCATTCTTCTTCTTTTTTTCTTAAGTAAACCCTACTCCCAATGCGGGGCTTGAACTCATGACCCTGAGATCAAGAGTCTCATGCTCTACTGACTGAGCCAGCCAGGTGTCCCCTGTTTTGATGACTACAGCTTTGTAGTGTATCTTAAAATCTGGGATTGTGACACCTACAAGCTTTGTTCTTCTTTTTCAAGGTTGCTTTGACTATTCAGCGTCTTTGTGTTTCCATATAAACTTTAGTACTATTTGTTCTAGTTCTCTGAAAAAAAGCTGCTAGAATTTTGATAAGGACTGCATTCTATCTGTAGATTGCTTTTGGGTATTACGGACACTTTAACAATACTGGTTCTTCTAATCCCTAGGCACGGGGTATCTTTCCATTTGTTTGTGTCATCTTCTATTTCTTTCACCAGTGTTCTATAGTTTTCAGAGTACAGGTCTTTCACTTCCTTGGTTGTTTAATAATAGGTACTTTATTACTTTTGGTACAATTGTAAATGGGATTGTTTTCTTAATTCCTCTTTCTGCTATTATTAGCATATAGAAATACAACAGATTAATTATTAATTCTGTATCCTGTGACTTTACTGATTTCATTTATCAATAGTAGTAGTTTTGGTGGAGTCTTAAGGGTTTTCTATATATAGTATCATGTCTCCTGCAAGTAGTGAATGTCTTACTTCTTCCTTACCAATTTGGATGCTCTTTCTTTCTTTTTTCTTGTCTGATTGTTGTAAAAATTCAATATACATCTTAAGACAATTTTTTTAATATCCTTTCTCTAACTAATGGTAGAAAAATGGTTTCTATTTATGTATGTTTTCCATTTAGATAAAGATGTTATATTAAAAAGTTTTTTGGTGTCACAAATGATGAGATTTCTTTCAGGGAGCAAGCAATGAAAGACAAGGGCACATAAATATTATCTAACACTTTCCCAAAGCCAATCTTTCTCTGATTGATGAATGAAAACTTGTAGTAACAGAATGCCACACTTTAACAACTTACTACTTTAGAAAGATAATTATATAATGGGTAATTCTGTAACCATACCACAGTAAGAATTCCTACAAATTAGTAAGTAGCATATACATTTTTAAAATGAACAGTAGATACAGAAAAGCATTTCATAGAAGAAATAGTCACAGAAGAACTAAGAATGGCCACCAGACATATGAAAACATGCTAAACTATTAATAATAACTGAAGAATGTTAATTAAAATATGAAAACATTTCCCTATCAATTACCAATGATGAAAATGAGCAAGAATATTCAACACTCATAAGGACATGAAAAAATAAAAGTACTTCTACATTGATGGTAGGAGTATAAATACTTTTGCAATCTTTTTGAAAGTCAATCTGATGCTATCTACAAAATTTTATTTTTTATTTTTTAATTTTTAAAAATATTTTATTTATTTATTTATTTGACAGACAGAGATCACAAGTAGGCAGAGAAGCAGGCAGAGAGAGAGGAGGAAGCAGGCTCCTCGCTGAGCAGAGAGCCTGATGCGGGGCTCAATCCCAGGACCCTGGGATCATGACCTGAGCTGAAGGCAGACGCTTAATGACTGAGCCACCCAGATCTCCCCATATCTATAAAATTTTAAATACCTACACCTACCCTAACCCCCAGTAATCCCATTTTTAAAATCTATCCTATGAAAATATTAGTGTAAGTGCATAACGATACATTTACAAGGGTATTCATTGTAGTCTTAGCATGGGAGAGTGAATAAGTAAATTTTAGTATGTCCACACAATGGAATATGAAGTTCTCATTTTATAACACAGAACATCCTTGCTATTGGTTTGGAAAGATGTCTAGGTATATTATTAAGCAATGAAAATAAGGTACAGAAAAATATATACAGTATTTCATTTTTTTCTGAAAAAGAAACCCTGCACATGGGTATATATGTAGGCAGAGAAAAATGTCTGCAAGTAAACACAACAAACTCTTAATGATGATAACCTCTGGAGGGGGAGAGAGTTTGGTGTGAAGAGAACGAGGAAAGATTTTTTTTATCTTTTATTTAATACTCTGCACTGTCTGAATTCATTTTAACATGTTTTTATTTTAAAAATAAAGAAGTATTTAAATGTAACATTTATTGGGTTTTGCACTGTACCCATTTGGGGATTACTTTATCATTGTAATCCTTTATGTAGAGTCACCTGACAGTCAGAATGAGACTATTCTCTTAGAACCTCTAAAGGAAAACAAACAAAAAAACACCTAAAAACAGCAGATTCTCTGCTCCGGGCAGCATCCCTTCATTTCACTGAGGGATAAATTCCATCTAAAGTAAACGTCTGAGATTAGTAACCTATGCAAAATGCTGCCCGCAACAAAAGCAGTGAAGATAAACAAAGAGATAAACCCACCTGCACTATATCCAAAACCATGCCTGCTGACACTGTTCCAAAACCAGCTAGCAGAAATGGTACCAGTATTTGCAGCGCCATGACACCGCTGGATTCCTTGGGTGATTTCTGGTTTGCCTCCACAATGGCGTCTTCATCCCCATCACTAGATGCGTCTTCATTCTGCAACATGGAAGCAGCTTCTGCAGTGCCCCTTCCATCACAGTAATTGTAGTCGGCATAGTCATCATACTTGGGGCTACAGCTTGTGGGTGTGTGCCCATTATTGCCATGAAAAGGCTGCTCTGAGAAACTGTGAAACTCCATGTGCTGCTCAGATCGATTGCTAAAAGTCTGTGCTGCTGTTGATAATCCATCTTGCCAAACGCCATTTGCTTTCTTGTGCCTATCTTCCTGGTTTTTCTGATAAATTACTGGAACCATACTCAACAACAAGTTTAAAAACTTATCAGACTGAATTGTATTTAAGCCTAAAGTCCAGTCTACTAAACCTCCTCCACTACTTGGACCACTACTTGTGTTATTAGTAATAGATCTTCCTTTGCTATTAGTCATATTGTCATCGCAAAAGACCCTGTACTCCTGAGATCTCAAGCTTTATGAACCATTGTAGGTAAATCAGAACCACACAAATGCTGGTTTAAATTAAGATGTTGACTTCATTTTGTAGGAAATAATGTTTCTACTAATAAAAGGTGTTTAGAAGTTCCACAGAGGGACTGGATCTGAAAAGAAGAAGATAAAATAATTTTTAAAAATCAGATTAACGATCTTGATACTTAAGATTCTCATATAAAACACACATGTTCTTAAACCAACCCTAAGGTGATGACACTATACTTTGTGGGCTTAAACACATAACTGTTTTGAGCCACACAGCTATTCTGTAAACAGAAACATAGTACAGAGAAATTGTGCTCAATCTTTTTTTTTTTTTTTAAGATTTTTTTTTAAATTTATTTGACAGAGAGAGATCACAAGTAGGCAGAGAGGCAGGCAAAGAGAGAGGAAGGGAAGCAGGCTTTCTGCTGAGCAGAGAGCCCGATGCGGGGCTCGATCCCAGGACCCTGAGATCATGACCTGAGCCGAAGGCAGCGGCCCAACCCACTGAGCCACCCAGGCGCCCCTGTGCTCAATCTTTATTTAAAGTGTCTTTCATTGTTGCACACTCTACCTAATTGATGCCTATGTAAAACCATCAAGTCGCTAAAGTTTTACAGTGGACAAATTTATTAAATAAAGTGATGGCTTCTGGGGCACCTGGGTGGCTCAGTGGTTAAATGACTGACTTTGTGGTTTAGGCTCAGGTCATGATTTCATGGGTGGGAAGATCAAGCCCTTGTAGGGACTCCACGCTCAGCAGGGAGCTGGCTTGAAGTTTCTTGCCCTCTGCGCCCCACCCAGTCAGAAGCATGCACACGCATGCGCACATTCTCTCTCGCGCTCAAATACTTTAACTGATGGCTTCTATTACTGTACAAAGGTCTCAGAATCAAATTGTTACAACTCTTCACATATGTCAGTACATAATAAGAGGTAAAGTATATGGCATTATATTTTAAACAGTTACTTTATTTACGACTTAATGTAATATGTATTTTATCAAAATGTTATTTTTATTAAAATATGAGACAATGAGGGACGCCTGGGTGGCTCAGTTGGTTGGACGGCTGCCTTCGGCTCAGGTCATGATCCCAGCGTCCTGGGATCGAGTCCCGCATCGGGCTCCTTGCTCGGCGGGGAGCCTGCTTCTCCCTCTGCCTCTGCCTACCACTCTGTCTGCCTGTGCTCATGCTCTCTCTCTCTAACAAATGAATAAATAAAATCTTTAAAAAAAATATGAGACAATGATAGGATGTGCCATAAAAATACTTGGTAAATATTCTGAATACTCGTCAGGGATTTATTTCACATATAAAAGTAGGTTGGAGTCATATTTGCACAATTCATTATAATTGATTGAGGAATACAATCTCTGTTATCTACCAAATAACCAAAATGAAAAGAGATTACAGATACTCACTAAATGCTCTACTTTGCAAGCCAACCAAAAGAAAGCTTATGATGCACTTACTACTTAACACTCTTCTCAAAGTCTGCTCTGACCTTCAATCCCAGAGTATGCCCCTGAGTGGCTGGCCAGTGACCACATTCTCTCTAAAGACTTGAAACTAAGAGACACAGACACACACTGTAGCTAGTTGGATAGCGATGGACACTGAGGCTGGAGGTCATACACCACGCACCCAGGTAGAGAGCCCGAATATTTGGACAGTGTTGCCATAGACACAGAGGCTTTCAAAGATGTCTACCGCAGTAGGTCTAAAGACCTCAGGTCAGGGACACCCAGGCCTGCCTTGTATGTCCAAGAGCATTCGAGATCACGAAATTGGCACTTATTTGATAATGGGTACATGATCCCACCGCTCAACTGCACTGCCTACCCACCCAGCAAGACTAAGAATTAACTGCTGTCAGTATTGCTGCTTTTAATGAAAATTATTACATCCTTCAATGTTTATTGCCAATTCCTTAGACTGTCCATCCCCACTCCTTGGACAGGAAGATCAACAGCAAGGAATGGCAAACAAAAGATAGCAAGGAAGGGCAAACAGAGCTATGTAGCAGGTGCTAATAAGGCCTGTCTCATCCACTTCATCATTTACTCTCTTTCCTTCCTTCCCTCTTGTGATTGTGGAGAAGTCTTGGAATTCCTACTGGGAAATATCTTAAAATAGATTCTAGGACCCCAAACCTACGGACTTGGAATATCTGTACATCTTTCTTTTTAAATTTCCCAAGCAATTATGGTGCAGATTTCTTGTAAACTTGCCCTGAGAATCCAATGAGTAGATCAAGTACTAGCTGCCATTTTCCACCACTTGCAGGTTGATCGGTATACAGAAAAAGGTGGTGTTTGAAGAAAATCGGATGAATGGAACCAATGTCCAGAGTAAAGCCGAGGAGAAACCAAGTAGTCCCAGGAAGAGAGAGATGACCAGAACAGCTGCCTGAGAACCTCCCATGAGTGGAGAGGCTCAGCTGTACTTCTGGAACTAATGAGATTCCCAGAACGCTTAGATGACTAGATCGAGAGGGTTCTGTTCTTCAACCCATTGTGTCTTTTTTTTTAAGTTTTTTTTTTTTTTTAATCTATTTGAGAGAGACAGAGACAGAGGTAGTGAGAGAGAACACAAGCAGGGAGGAGAAGGAGAAGCAGGCTCTCTGCCAAGCAGGGAGCCAGCCGTGGGGCTTGATCCCAGGACTCTGGGACCCCATGACCTGAGCCAAAGGTAGATGCTTAACGGACGGAGCCACTCAGCCTCCCCTCCCCATTTGTGTCTTTTTAAAGGGCAAGCATTTCACTGCCTCAAGGAGATCTTCAATTAAATGAAATATAAAACAAACCTCAAAGGGGTTGAACTTTAAGACAAGTCTATACTACTGAAGGGCCTGTGATGGATACAGGCAGTTTCTTCCTCCTTTTGAACTAGAATTATACAGTTGATCAAAACGGAAATGCAGAGAACTGGGGAAACGTGATCAACTAACACTAGATAGAAAAATGAAGGGGAGGGAAGGGGAATAAAAAAGAGGAATTTCCCAAGACAAGTCATTGCTGTTAGAATATTTATAGGGCATGGCTAGGCACATAGTCAACACAGAGTTGGCCAAGCAGGATCCAGATGCAAAGATACGTCCAGCTCATACTTCCGCTCCTAGTATCCTCACGTCAGCATAAACAATTCGGAAATGGAAGATGGATACTCAACCAGGGTCTCTGTGCAAAGAGACCATGAAGGAGGGTTGAAATCCAGCCCAAGGCTCCATTCATGGGGCTGCCTTTTTCTGGGAGGCAGTATCCTACCCACCAGACCACACAATGACAAGTGGCCCAAGCAGGACCTAAGTCCTCCCCCTTTTCATATATCTGTTTTCTTACTATTTCCCGAGTGACCACGAGATGCTGGAGTTACACCAAATTAACAAAAGTCACCATTCCTGCTTCTAATGGATTTTAACTTGTAGTGGGGAGGATAAACCACCAGGTGAGCAAACAAAGGAGATAATTTGTGGAATCTGTGATAAGGGCTATAAAGGAAACAGCTGATTTAATGAAGAGTGAGTAAGTTACAAGGTTACTTTAGAGTGGAAGGCCTCTGGAAGAGTTTTCTCACTTCTCTTCGAAGTGACATCATCCTGAAGCTACCATTTTCTTTTCCAGCTCAAAAAGTCCCCTCTACCACCACCACCACCACCACCATCACTACCACTTGAAGTGAAACCATCCACATTAAAAGAGGATCCACAGAAAGAGAGAATCAAAGCCAGGAAATGAGTCTCGTAACAATTAGAACCTCTACTTCATGTATGTAAAGCTCATTCCGGCCCTGTTGTTCCCAATTATTTGGACCAATAACTCCACAATGAGAAAGCTAGTCTGAGTGGCGTTTCTATCCTAACAGCTTTTTAAAAAAATAATGCAATTTGGAATTAGTAGGGATTATCTTGTTATAGGTGCATGCCCTAGACTACATATCACTATTTTGCACTGAGAAATGTGTTTATTTTTATTTTATCCTTCACTTCATCCAGTTACTGAGTGATCATCAATTAGCCTAATGCTTGCTTACCGACAAGTTCCATTACCTCCCTTAAAGACTCCTTAAACTTTCTTCTTTTAAAGAAAGCACTTGGGAACTCACTGAATAATGGATTATAATCAAAATACTTTGTGATGGATGTAAGATGAGTAATGTACATATATACCACCAAATAAAAATCTGTTGCTCTATACGATTTACCCATGTATGACTAAAAACAGGCAATAATTTTAAAAATAACTAAACAGAATTTGGCAAAGTCTTCCCTCGCTTTAAGGTATTTAAAGAATGTCAGTGGAGATACTTAGTAGGTTATATTAATCTAACCTAGTTGAGAAGAAACAGCGTCTTTAGAACTTCTGCGTGTCAGTTACAAAGAAGCAAATCTCTAAAAACAAAGAATCTGCTACTCTACTCACAATGGCCAATATTTACAAAAAACAGAAGTTGCAAATATGAGGCATGATTCAAAAACCCTCTACTGAGTGGCTGTATCAAATACTATTACTTAGCAGCTGTGTTCCAAAGACTCTTTAGGTGCTATGCACAGCCAACACAGGGGCAACTTTATTTTAGTGCCTTGGATCCTTGTTGCTCAGAGTACGGTTTGTGGTCCAGCAGCATCGGCATCACCCAGGAGCCTGTTAGAAATGCAGAATTTCAGCTCCAAGCCCTACTCCAATCTATGAATCAAAACCTACCATGTTAATACATCCCCAAGTAATTTGAGTACATATGAAAGTCGGAGGAGCACCTCCCTGTACATTCAAAAAAAAAAAAAAAAAAAGAATCTGATTTATAGGGCACCTGGGTGGCTCAGTTGGTTAAGCAACTGCCTTTGGCTCAGGTCATGATCCTGGAGTCCTGGGATCCAGTCCTGCATAGGGCTCCCAGCTCCACAGGGAGTCTGCTTCTCCCTCTGACCTTCTCTCCAGCTCATGCTCTCTCTCTCTCAAATAAATAAATAAAATCTTAAAAAAAAAAAGAATCTGATTTATATTCCCTATACTAAAAAGGAGATGTTGTCAGACTTTCAAATGTGAACAAGGACATGAGCACTGGTAATACATTAAACACTACTAGTGGGACAGTAAACGTTATTATACTGTTTTGGAAAACAA